CTCTCTCTCTCTCTCTCTCTCTCTCTCTCTCTCTCTCTCTCTCTCTCTCTCTCTCTCTCTCTCTCTCTCTCTCTCTCTCTCTCTCTCTCTCTCTCTCTCTCTCTCTCTCTCTCTCTCTCTCTCTCTCTCTCTCTCTCTCTCTCTCTCTCTCTCTGTATGTCTGTCTGTCTGTCTGTCTGTCTGTCTGTCTATCTGTCTGTCTTTCTTTCTTTCCCCGTCTCACTTTGTCTTGGTCTATCCCGCTCCATCACTTTCTCGTTTCCCTTTTCTCTTGTACCCGTACTACACATCTGTCTATTACTCTCCCACTTCTCTCTCTCACTCACGCTCTCTCCCTCTGCCTTGCCTCCTCTTGCTACTGCTACATGGCTGAACTCTTGCCCACCTTTGCAGAGTCGGATGTTACATCTCCTAACCCTAGAGGGCGCGGGCTCCATGCACTGCGAGGCAATGTTACTGCCACACGTCACATTTCTTTGCTGAATACCTTTTCCACAAGTCACCGAGCACTAAAAAGTCAGAGCAGTAAGCAGGACAGCCAATAAATTTTGAAGGGTTGCGCAGGAGCGTTAATGTTTTGCAATCAATCAAGTCCGGTTAGTGGGTTGCCTATCAATTATTCACTATGTTAATAAATATTATTTTTTAATAAAATCTAAATGCAGCAAGAATAAACCATGCTCGCGCGTAACGCCAATCTACGCATATCACATGTCAAATAGAGAATGAGCTTTCTGCCCAGAAACATGCATGCTGTCGAATGTAGGTACTATGTTACATTGCTTGAAGCATGCACTAGTTAATTCGGGCTTTCTTGCTATATCGCCTATAATTAATGACACGTGGATAATAAATTGTGATTATATACGTAGATTTCCCGACGAACTCTCTTACTAGTATACGTTTTATTAAGAGTAGAAAGAATGTGAGAAGATGAGCGGTCTCAAGAACTATTCAGATAACTGATGATAAAGCCTGCAGTGCAGTTTCCCACATGCACAACTCACTGTCGTCAAAAACTGTACGCAATTGTATGCCGTTTTTCTTGTCATTTTGTTGTTGCCAAAATATGAAACCATGCAACTGATCTCTTCCTTACCGTAGCTGCATTTACCAATCGATTATTGCATCGGGCGTTTATTCAATGTAAATATTACGCACCCCTGGTGGCAGGTCCAGATGAGACGGGATACTAGAGAAGCGTTGCCGAAAGGAGGTGTTGATCCCAAGCGCTATAAGCGCAGATCTTGCGCGCAATTGTTGGGTAAATATTACGCACCCCTGGTGGCAGGTCTAGCCCGTACTAACTATCTTACAATAACGCACGCCGTGCACGGCTGGCTATACTCGTGACTACCTGTGTCCACTGTCCAGTGTTCCATAGAGCGGGGCAAGCGGCGCGCATGCAGGCGCGCGTCTCCGCTGGCTTTCTCCCATTAGCGACACAGAGGGCGTCGTCGCCGCGCTCGTGGCGCCCCTCGTGGAAGCGTGCGCAGTATACATGCCGGGTCTGCAGACCTTCCGTGCCACACGTGTGGCTGCACAGCACCCACTCGCTGGCAATCCATCTGGCAAGGCCACCGAGTGACAACGTGTCATTTTCATGCTCATTTAGTAACGTCATATAGTCAAAAGTCATGTAGCTAAGTGAACGTCACATTTTCCTTTTTACTGATAGGTTAAAACCCATTAATTTACATATTCCAGCAGAATAGTATTGATGAGAATATATATATATATATATATATATATATATATATCAAGAGCTAATAAGAGGTATTATTACGTCTTGATATATATATATATATATAACATGTTGAGTTTGTAGGTTGTAACATGAAAGCGTCTGTTTAAGATTTAGGAGAGTCGCGTAGGATTGCGAAAGAAGTACGTAGTGACTGAAAAGATCCATGGTAAATCCATCTATAGGGTTCTGTAGGGTTATTAATGGTGTTCGGACATCTATGTATAGCTGTGAGATCCATGTAAAGTCGGTGAGGGCTATATATATGATTGCAGAATAAAATATTTACATAGACGCGACGGGGCTTACGTAGGATTGGTAGAATTGGTAGGTGTCAATAATAACTGCATGTGGTTAATGTGGCTGATCATCAGGCGAATCGAAGTGAATCGAATGCTTACCTCTGTTCGCACGAGAACTCGTTACAGCTCTTTCTCACTGGTTTTGGCCTGCTGTAAAGACTACACATGCGCTTGGGTGCATATCTACTCGTTTCCCCGTCATTGCAAATGTACCTTGTGAACATTACGCCTGGAACACAATGCGCCGCGTCAAAAGTTATTAGCGACCCGACCAAGTGACTCGACGGACATGCTGCCCCCAGGCCCGCCTGCCCGATCATCGGCCTGCCCCTCCCCTGACCCTAGCTGCCTCTCTGATTTGCTCGGTTACCCGTGCCAGACAGCCAGGCAGCCAGGTAGGTAGAGAGTCAGTCAGCCACCTAGCCAGCTAGCTAGCCAACGACTCTTGTAAATATTCTATACATGTTCACGGTATTTCCTACTTTCCCCGCAACGCATTTGCAGCAGGCCATGTGCGAATCCCATATAAGTGAGATTTATTAATGTGGTGAGATGTGAATTGACCTGAATTAAAATGTGTGACTTTTGATATAATATGTGAATATTACACATACATCTATATGACATCTACACTTTATAGATTATAGCAAGTAAGTATTTATTATATAATGCTCTTTGAGCAAATCCTAGTACATGCATCCACATTTAAACGCTATGGAAAGAATAGCTCGCTATAATCGTCGTAGTAGTACACAGTTGTTTCCAGACTATTATATCTCAGGGTACGTGTATCAGATTAATCGACGTGAATCGACATGAGATTAATGATTGTGGTTGTTTTCAATTGACATTTTACAAAATAGTTAAACATGATATGGAGCCACTATGAGGATTTCAACAGGCAATAGTAAAATCTCCAGGGAGTTTAAAGCAGAATCATCTATAGAATAATGTGATTGTACAAATAAGTATGAAAATAAAATGACACAGCGATTGTGCACGCAATTATAATTAAATATGTTTCAAATTCAGTCTATAAACCAACCGTGATCGAAACTAGTAGCAACATAAATTAAGAACACACGCGATAAGACAATTTAATTGTTCAGTCCGCTTTCTTAGTCTTTACGTCAACTCCCTGGCTGAGAATCTGAACAGGAATCTATATACTTATAGCTGAAGATTTATCGGCGATGCGTCGTTAACAAAATAGCATTAACACAACGCCCACATCCCTACGCAGACTCCATTGGAACAGTTAATATAGTAGCGTATTTACATATTCGTAATTCCATAGTTATAACCACTTTACACAAAGAATACACAGTCACAGACAATAATTATACACATTCACGTTTAGTCAAATAGACTAGACAGAGTAGAAACAATAATTATATCACTCTACGTACTAAATGCATTGTTGATACTGAGATAAGGTGTAAAAGTCTTGCATATGTTACTTATGTAGGCTTATACACTGGATCGATTCCTTGGTTTGTGCGTTTATTAAAACTCGAAAATGAGTTTGCACAAAGTTTTATAGGCACCCTCTCTCTGCTGTTAATAACTGCAATGTTTACACTACTTTCTTCGTTAAGCGTACTGCGAAAGTGAGCCACCTACATCAGCGAAAGTGATAGTATTAAAGTATCAAGAGCGTATAAAGAAGCTTCTTTATACGCTCTTGAAAGTATCGATACCTTGATCTTGCCCTTGTTCATACAAACTTGGTTTGCTCAGTAGCGCTAAAATAAACACACAGCGCCATCTGTCCCCAGCTCATGCAATAACTGATATCCTAACCACGCAACGCGTCAATGACACTATATTATGTATGCAAGCGTAAAATTGAACGATTAAGCCAATATAGACGGAAAACCTAAATGGATCGCAAGATATCTTGAATTCGCTATCATATTAGCAAGGCGTACATATATATATATATATA